TCTCTATTATAATTCAATAACTCTACTAATCATAGCCAAATTATTGAGTTGCGTGTACCCAATTAAGATAAATGTACCATTTGCACCATCATTACCTATGCTAACATACCTGTACCCATATATTTCCCTAGTAGCACACTAATGGGTATTCCCACTTGCCGCCTTGGTGGCGTGTCGAAGAGCGTTTCCCGCCGCGGCGCAGATCTAAATGATTCACACCAGTCTGCAATTATGCCTCGCGGTAAATGTATTTTTAATGACAATGTCCGATAGAAGGCGACCTTGTTGTCAAATGATCTCTTGCTACAGTGCTTCTTTCTAATGATAATTCGCAACTCCAAACAAAAGTTTTTATAATGATTAGCACATTTGACAAGGTTATGAAAAGTGATATTTAGGTCATACAAGTGGTTTATTGATTGGAGAAACTACATTTGAAAGCTACTTGAAATTAAATATGGAGGTATATTGCTGTTTAATGACCCTTGGAATATAACCATTATGTAGATAAATGGTTGTTTTTAGCCATTGCCTAATCTTTACTCATTTTGAAGTTAGCTAGGATGATTTTTTTGTATAAGCTTTGACAATACCGGTATTGATGCAGTATCCAATATTTAGTCAATGGTTTAAGCTAGACGTTGATTCGTTTCCATTTCCATAAACAATATTAATACAACGAATTACATTTCAAATTAAAAATAGACTATTGAAGACGTATAGTTGCTATTTGCAAATTAAATTGTTATTGTTTTCAATTATCTTGTTTCTCGATTTTATTTCGTGTAAGTATCTCTTTCTCGAATCTTAATGTTATCGAATTAAATATATTGCAAATGAATCTATATAGATTCACAAAATAGGGCGAGTGCACCCGTGAATGACCATTTAAGCTACAAGGTCGAGAAATTATTTAAACTCATTGTTTGTATTCTCATGTATTTCCTAATGAAACTTGTATTTATGACGTATTGTATTTATGACGAAACTTGTATTGTGTTCGAACAGAGGTAAGGGTTGAAATACACAATTTATAGCACATAAATCATTGCATACATAGCATCTTAACATTGTACTAACACCCCTACTCTTCACCAAATAACCTGTTCAAGATTCTCACGTTGAAACTGGACACCCTGTATATAATATTTAAGAAAATCATTACATGATTGTTAAAATAGTGAATGACCACTGCTTTTCATCTAGTGAATTTCCTTAACCTAAACTCGTGGTCAAACTCTGGTTAGAGTGTGGCATTGTATTGTATGCATGGTTTCTGATGAGATTTTGTGATTTCTAGCAAGCACTTGAGCTATCAGAAAAGAACGTTTCCAAACCTTTGAAAGAACTGATCCAAATCTAGCTAGGACTGATAAATGACCGATACAGTAATCACTGTTTACACCCAAAGCTGTGATCCAGTAAATTACACAAGTGTTTAAAATTGTTGGTTAGGATGTCGGTTTCAAATGAATACAGGATTGTAGTAAACTACAAACACCACTGAAATCACACACTGAAATCATACACTGTGCTGCAGTTTCCATCAATAATAAATTAAAGAACCATAGAGATATACAGCCACCCTTTTTTGTACGAGACGAGTGGGAATCTTGAAGATTGGTTGGAATACACAATTTCTTTGTGTTACAGAAGGATGATTGATATTTTCTTATGGAACCGGTAACAGGATATATTCCAATCAGGCTCCAAAAGATACTTGTCTAATATAAAAGGCTAATATAATGTTTTACTAAGGGGGATGGTAATTCAGTGGAATTCTCACTCCACCTCAAAGTAGCTCATTCTCGTACAACTCACCCTCCGTCCACCCAAAAGTTTTGACGTGAACTGACACTTACTGGTCCATCACACAGCTATTGATTACTGTGGATATCTGTTGCATGATTAACTACCCTTGTCTACCCCTACTGTCGCTGTCGCCACGTGCTTGTAGAGGTAGAGGGTTGAGGGTTGATTGTGTGACAAGTTCACCTCCACCTGTTGTTTCTAGACGGATCCCTATGTTGTCATCGCATCACCCACACTTTCTTAGATTTCTTAATGTTTTGCATCACAACTGCTATTTCGCATTTAACAATTGTTGATTTTCACCTACCTGATTGGAGTAAATTATTCATGTGACATTTACATGTGACGAGATAGTAACGGTACTAGTAAAATACAAAAGTTATCACGTACCAGTTTTCCTGTCTCACGCAAATATCAATGGACCAATTTAAATACAGTAATACGCTAAAATTTAACCCAAAGCCAGCCATTTACCTAGGAATGTCAAAGGAATATTACTTATCCATATTTTAATTCAGGATGTCCTCCCATAAATTAAGATCTAAATTTGCGATTGGAAAGAAAATATTAATATGTCTTTATGTTAACAAAATCAACTGCATAATGTTTAAATTGGCTTAATTAATTTGTTTGTTTGTTACATTTAGGTGTTTCCAAACCCTGTCAAAGTTTGTATATTAAGGGTGGACCGATGTTTCAAGGTATCAAATGAGGCGACTCTCAAACCGATTATGATTTTCATAACCAGTGTTAACCGAAAACAGACAGAGTTGTATTTTAGGCAGCTAATCAAAATCAAGCGAAGATATGTTGTAAAGCACAAAGAGTTTCTGGTAAGATGTTATGGTCCAAGTCAGCACAAAGCTAACTAAATCGTGGTAGATCTAGGGTTTTCCTACAGCTGCTTGGATAAATATATTACATTCAAGTCTCTCACATTCTCGTCGTTACATACTCTCTCTCTCGCCCCTCGGTGCTAAACAGGCTAAGCATCCTGGTACGCAAAGTTATGTGTAAGTATTGTAAATGTATGCATAGAATCAATGAATCAACTAGTGGTTGGGGAAACAAATAATTCATATACTATGCAAGCAACTGAGTCCAATCAGGGACATCTTATTCGACGTTACAATAAACACGTTACAATACAGAATATATTTGGATTATTGGTTGACTTTGAATATAAATAAGAGTATACCTCAAGTATAGCTACTATAAAATTCTGTTTTAGAAATAGTTTGATAACGTTTTAACAAATAAAAATAAACACTTGTGAATATACTGTATTTTTAAACTCGAGAGAAAATGTCTCTTTGATGGTGCAGTTGGCCTTTCGTCAAAGGAAGCTCTGAAGCTCTGTAATCACTGCAGTACTTTCTGTTGTTGATTTTATATGTTTGTCATAAGTTGAAAGAATTATATGTACCTAATATATATTTTACTAAAAGAATCTAACGATTATGATAAGTTTTCAATAGTAAAATGTGTGATTTTATTAATTGTTCACTAGGCCTGCCAAAATATAATGTAAAAAAACTAGTGTTACAGGTTCTTTATAATTCCACCTACCTCCTGTATGTGTGCAAACAATGTAACTATTTATTTATTTTATTTTTAAATGCATATTCGAAAATATTCGTTTAGAAAATTGTTCGGCACGGGCTATTAACCGTTTATAGATCAAGGTTTTAAAATCACATGATTATGAACATAACTTGGCCACGCTCAAAGTTTATAACAATAAAACAGTATTCTTACAAAAACTATCCAAGTTTAGAGGCAAGTCACTTAACTATGCTTTTAACAGAATAACTGTGGTAGCGGTCTAAAGATGGCTTTACTGGGGCTATGAAAATGAATGAACAAACAAAAGAAACGAGGATACAAAACCTGCCCATTTCTTCTCGACATCTTAAGGCTTTTATCGTAAAATCCGTTCCAAGCAGAGTAAGTCTTGGGTTATACTGGGATAATATTTACACTGTAACATTTGTCTATAAAATCTGCTATACTAATCTACTATACTAAAAAAATTGTGACGAATAGAAGTTTTTAAGGTTAGTGTTTATTAATACATCCCTTTACAAAAGATTCAAATGAAAATAGCATTAACTGAAAAGCTCACGGACTCACAAAGGTATTTAAGAAACATCATAATGCGAAAAATACAAACAAAAGTAAAGTTTTAATTCGACGTGTTTGAATCAATATTTTAAAATGTATAGTATACTTTCCTTTGAATAAATTTGCAATGACCATGTAAATAATGGTTAAACACATTAATTGTATTCAGATAAATAATGAAACGTCTAATAATTTTAAAACAAATCCGATTAGACCTCCTGAATGTGTCCTGATTGAAGGGGAGGAAGCATGCAGAATTACTGAGATCTCCTAACGATGTGCTTTATTAAATCTTTATTTAAACTAAAAATTACAGTTTGAGTTTACTTAATTTTTGCTACTAATTCGACTTTCAGTGTTTTTAATTGTTTTCATAAACACATTAGCCAGCGAGTACTCGTCATACGGACTGAACACAGTTGGCCTACGCTGCGATGGACTCAACTGATGTGCCCTATATTTCACACATAGAAACGGATAATACCCTCATCCCTGTTTCGTAATTAGATGGTAAAAATTATAAATACTATTTAATGTGCAGTTCGTCCCATGATACCCAATACAACGATCTCCGATATATAAAAACAATAAACGGACGAAGCATAGAATCTTACAAAAACGTCAACAATGTCGATTTTGTTGACTTATCGGCGAGTTATTATGAGAGTTGTTCCTTAACTCAGCAGAATGCATTGCTATTCAGTTCTCAAACAACGAAAGTGAAACTGCATAGTGACCCACTGCAGTCGTGCAGTGGACCTTTTTACACCTTGAGTGTAAATATTGCACAATCCCTACAACTCGATTATTTGAAAACTAAAAACTCAAAACACATAGTAATTCGTCTGTAGAACATATTTTGAGTATACAATAACAAACAGGTCACATGTTGGCATTGTAAATTTAAGTAGGTACCATCAAGTTTGGAGGTGATTAGCTGTAATGGTTTTAAGTCATAATAGTTTTCAGTACATTATAGTGACAGCCGTTTATACAACTTGTTGACATTATCGTGGTAGAGTGGTGGTGTACACTGTCCAGGTGATGTTGTGATGTTTACATACCATTCGAGTGTTGGTCAGGCCCTGCTATCATCTCAGCCCCAGTTCTGTTGTTAGACATGCACCCCACAGATGGACGACAACTTGACCGTCATCGCTGGTCACTAACTATACACTCACGGTCACTACACACACTGTATACACTCCACTCTGTGTATCATGTAACGTGTATCGTGTATCGTGTATGATGTATGCAGAGTGAGGAAGGAATCGAAGAGCTGGGAGGGGGCGCGCAAGTCACAACCCTACCACCCCCGCCTCACGACGATAATCTACTCCAATCTGAGGCTGATTTATCGTTATTTAATGGCTGCAAAAGCAACTTCTAATCAGTCAAGGTCACACTACCACCCTTCCGAGGAATACACATAACATTTACCTCTGTAGATAATACGGCAAGTAATTTGAGTTTGTTCACAGTTAAATTTCAAAACACCGTTTATGCTGAAATATTTAAGAACCGCTTTAAATTTTTTCGGATAGTTGAATTTTTATCTAGATTTGTTATTTGTACAATTTTATTATATGATTTACTTCTCACTTTAACTTTTTGGTTATTTTACATCGTCATGAGGTGTTTGCATTTTTTTACCAAGCATTATTTTCAACACATAAGCTTCATTGTATTCAAGTAACTCGAATTCCTATAAATTTGTTGAGAACTTTTGTTATGGAAAATTGTCTTTCAGCTTCAGCTTAAGAAATGGAAAAGTCGGCGTAATGATATGGCTTTTCCAGCATTAGGTGATGGTAAGATTAGATACCTTATCAAGTTTCAGCTTAGCATGTCATTTACTATCTTTAGAATTATAGATTTTACAAGGGACGACCACAACACGCTTATATAAACATTTTAATAGTTTAAATTCATTGAAATCTAACGAAACAAACTTTATCAAACACATAAAAAAATATCTTATCTAACTTAATCAATTTTTAGTTTAATGAATTAGGCCAAATAGGTGACCAGGGTATAAATTGATCACATAATTGTTTTAACTTATGCCGAATCAAATTAATTTTCCCTTCTCCCTCAAAAGCAGTTGTGTTCAGTTTTTGAAGTACATGTACATTGAAGTCCGTCTAATTGGACACCCATCTCCTGTAAGTGGATAAACTATGAAGGAAGGTTTAAACTTGTAATCGTTCGAGGTTTTACAGTAAACCTATCATATAATTTATTATATATTTATGTTTCTTTCATTTTTTATTGAATGGCTTTTTGTTGCGGGGGCAACTCTTCTTCTGCAGTGAATTAATGAATTGATAGAATATTTCAGGCCCCCATCAAGAAGTTGTACAGTATTAAGATGCTTTGGAACCTAGACGTTTCATTTCGTTAAACAATTAAAACACTAAAAAGAAACTTTCTAATCCCACAGTAGTCTATACTAGATTTTTAAATTACAATCACTCTGGTGTTTGGAAAATATTTTGAGATGGTAAATAACTCTTCGGCGGCTTTTTGAAATTAACGAAATTAACATTGATCTCTTATGGTGGGTAAATCCAAGATGGCCTCTATAGCTTCCATGGACTCCCTTGGAGAACAATTCAAAATTACAAAGATCATTTCTAATCTCACAGTATCCTACAGTAGATATTTAAATTATTATCACTCTGGTGTTAGAAAAAATATTTTTGGACAATAAATAACCCTTCAGCGGCTGTTTGAAATAATCCAAGATGGCCGCTATCCTCCAAGGCCTCTTAGTCAATAGTATTGAGGAAAGCGTTTCCCTTTCTCGGATCCTAAAGATGACCATTCGGTCCATCAGGAGCGAGGAGCGACCCTGGCGGAGGTTGTGCGTGATATAACAAGGTAAACATGAGTTGGCGTGCTCGTGTCATCAGATAGTAAGCACATAAACTCTTTTAATAATAAATCAAAAGTCGTACTGTATCTGTTGTTACAAATCATAGTTGTACACTTTGTGTACTTTCGTGTACCATAGTAGTTAGTGTATATTTTAATAACAAGAAAGGACATACCGCAAAATTGTCTTACAAATTAAAAATGTGAGTGAAGGATGTATGTAGAATGAAGTGTGATAGTCCCTGTAGTTTACTGACTAAGACCAGCTGTTTCATTAGCAATTAGCCTGTTTCATGGATACATAGCTATTTGAAGCCCAATGATCAGGAGCAGCTGGGTCCAGTTCCGAACCATCAAAAAGCGACTACTTACTTTTCCAGGATCGATCCGTCGACCGTCAACCTTTTAATTAGGCGAGTACTATCTTATTCTTATGGTTCACCTTCAATTTAAATCTCCCGCTCTTTGTCGATCTGTTATTTTACTTGTCGACATTCCAGAGTCGATAAGATGCGGAATCTTACACAACTGCCGCATCTTGTCGACATCCCAAATAACCGACATCGCATCTAATCGACATCTCATGTATGACCAAAACTGTCAATATTATTTTGTGTTGGCGACAAGATGCGACGATATCAATGTCGATCATTTGGGATGTGGATAATATGGGTCCCCGAGTACTATAACCACTCAGCTACCCATATTGAGGTGAGGATAACTTCCTTGAGTAGTCTGGATCACTTAACATATGAATATGAATATATCTCTTAACCAATTCGTAAATACCAAAGGCAAACACGTGGTTCGGATTCCACTATAAACTGTAGGTCCCTTAGTTGCCATTAGCTGTATGGGCTATTAATTAACAGCTGTGTATAAGGAATATGTCGGCCTTAGTCACTAACAAGACTACAAGACTACTCATCCTACTCTCATATCTATTCATACTTGGCTTAAAATACCTACTTGTATGGTCGCCATTTCATTGATAAGTATTAAAGAACACGGAGTTAATTTACCTTAATTTTGTCTTGTGACCATTTACATCCACATTACATCCCGAGATGGGGGTTGTCATACTATAGCTCGGCCGCTTAGAAAACGACCTGTTCGCTAATGCTAAGCCAAAGCTGGAGGAGTTCGTTTTCTAAGCGGCCGAACTATAGCTCATGTCCCACAAGGAGCCACCACGTCAACCACGGCCACCTAACTCCAGGCCGCGGCCATCGAAGTTGCAAAGTTGCAAGTAGGGTTGATTGATACAGCTGTTTTGTTGGAGGCAGCTAATGGCGTTTGTGTATTTTGAATAAGAAATCTGGTTACTAAATTATGAAAATACTAGCAGAGTACCCGTCCTTCGTACGGGGTTGGAATATAAGTATAAAATGCTTATTGCAGTTATACTCAAGCTTTGCGATTGCAATGGTGGAGGACACAGTTTGATAAAATTTGCTTTTTTAAATTTACAGTATTCTATAGTATTACACATCTACCATAGCCATAATGTTCTACCATTTTACCTAAACAATAGAGAAAAATAAATTATCAATTCGCAAACTATCACAAATTATTCATGAAATGAAAAACATATACATAACTGTAAACAATCCTACTTTGACAGTTCTCATTGCGAATCACAGTTTGTTGTTGCTGCTTAGTTCAAATTATCTGTTTTCATAAATGCAAAAAAAATATAGTGCTGCACCCTGTTGGTAAATCTTATAACTTTTTAATGCTTTTCCATATCATAGAACCAACTTTTTTAGTTGAAACAGCTGACTAAATTCTTTAATTCCCTTTAAATATGAATACTCATAAGGTTAACATGGGGAATTAATTACAGAGCCACTGGGGCGGAGCCCGAAAGGATTTTTGAGATAAGAATATGCCTATATGTTAATCGGGAATGTAAGCTATCATCATGCCAAATTTCAGCCCAATCCGTCCAGTGGTTTATGCGTGATTGAACTTCAAACAAACAAACAAACAAACACACAAACTTTCACATTTATAATATTAGTAAGATTGACTCCATTTTAAATGTACACAGAAATAGATTTTCAATTTATATTGTTTTTATTTCAATTCGATATGTTTTAATTTCAATATTTTAACAAATTTATTTTCATACATTTTTATTTCAATAAATAATACGTGAATTAATGAGCTGATGCACGGTCACCAAAGGCGGCCGTGGCTGATGTCACCTGTTTGTCATGTTATCTTATGGGACGTCTGGCGCTAAACAACAAACAACACTAATTGCGACGTTGCCAATTCTACCAGGGCGTGCGTCAAGTCAACCCACCACCTCAAACTTGTACTTTTTATGATGGGTTGTCGCTATGGTAGATTGTCGTTTTGGCACTTTGATGCACACCCGTTTATAACTGTTAACCTGTTTGATTGATAAAAACCTTCTTCATAAATGTATATAAAGATATATGCATTCAGAGTGCAATTGATTTAATGCGATATACGTTCTCTATGGAAACTACATTATTCTTGCCTAAATCAGCTGACTGAAACTTTCTTCGTCTGCTCTTTGTTTATTTCATTTCATTATCATTTAAACTAACCTGAAAATTAGAAAACAAATTTCTCTAGCCGTTTTGTTTCATCAGCCAAGTCAAAACAAATAAGTTAACAGTTCTTGGTATAGTTAGTTTAACATTTTTTTTTTATTTAAAGTTTAAAGCTTAGTTTTATGTTAACATGTCTTCGTGTGTACGTTTCATTTCAAACACAACATCAACGAAACATTTTGATGTTATTGTTTCTGGAGGTGGAATGATAGGCACAGCACTATCATGTTTATTAGGTAAGTTACAATTCTTTTAAATTTATTTGCCTTAAGGTAGTATTGTCATTTCTATAATGATAAAGGCTGTGATCTTTGGAAGTCTACACATTCACTTAGTTTAGTTGGGGGGGGGGGGGGGGGGTCAAATGTAAACAGTTAAAAATGAATCAGTAAGGGAATTAATTGTTGTTAGTTATTGGAAGAGGTCAACCATCTAGACCTATAAATAGGAAGAAATATGAGCAAATCTCAGAATGGCACTCTGAAATGTTTTGCTCTGCTTCTTTAAAGATGAGGTAGGCTAATAGAACTTATATGAGCTAATTTGTTTTATGAATTAAGTGTCACTCACATATCCATTCACAATGCGAAGCTACTGGCCAACCCTGTCTACCTACTGTTTGAACTGCATCATGTAGACTCTAGGCCCTACGGGGGGTTTCTAATCAACAATACTTTAAAACAAAGAACATTTTTTGAACTGTGACATGATCTTATTTTGTCTTTTAATCTCTCGTTGCAGCTCAGACACCTTCGCTCTCAAGTCATAAAATACTCCTTCTTGAATCAAACAAACCAAAACAGTGGAGTCTTTCACCAGCCTACAGCAATCGAGTATCCTCAGTAAATGAAGCCACAAAACATCTCATGGAAAGTATAGGTGCTTGGGAACATATCTCCAAAGCAAGATTCAAACCTGTCATGAATATGAAGGTAGGTCAAAGTGTTAAGTTAAAACCATGATTACTAGAATAATATAGCCTACCGGTATGGATCATGAACATAAACAAAATGACTTTTTTGGCCCGAAAGTAAACAAAACCAGCTATACTAATAGCATTAATTAACATAAGGTTTTGTTTACTTTTCGGGCCAAAAACGTAATTTATTTATGTTTATGATCCATACCGGGTCTTTTCTAGTATTCATAATTAAAACAATCCTAAGTATTTTAGGCTTTTGAAAATGTTAAGTTATAACATCTGTAACTCAGTAAAGTTAGGTTTATAAGTTATCAAAGCAAATTTAGACCCTATGGCAGTGAATGAAAAAGAGATGTACAGTAACTCTCTTTAAACCAAAGGCAAATTAATAGACCATAACTTTGACCATACCCCACCCCATTCTTAGAGATTACAGTTGTCAGGAAACGCATAGGCCTACTTGTTGTATAGTTACACTCATCTCCATTCATACTTGGCTTAAAATACCTACTTTGTATGGTCCCCATTTTATTGAAAAGTAAAAAAAGTATTAATGTGATAGGTTAGTAAATAAAATTGTAGATAACTTAATCAATCACGATATACTTCCATCATATTGTAATTACGATCGAACAAAACAGTATAATATTTGTTTACCAGCACCTTTTATAACTATTTCTTGATTCCTGTTTCTGGCTTTTACATTATTTGTCTGTTTTTAAGGTTTGGGATTGTTCTGGAGCGAAAGTGGAATTCAATAACGATAACAGTACCGACCCAGTGGCATACATTGTGGAAAACGACATCTTAGTTGATTCAGTGGAAAAGGAACTAAAGAAAGCAGATAATGTGACTGTTATGAACGACACACGTGTGGAGGAATATACGTTACCCAAACACGGGAACGAAGAAGTGCAACTGCGGCTGACTGACGGCTCTACAGTCACTTGCAACCTTCTGGTTAGATGTTTAACAGTTTTAAACAGTGTGGCTTAGGCCTATATATATTTTTTTTTTAAGAAGTAAGACAACAGACAATCACATAAAGGGTACAAACGCACATGATGCGACAGAGCGCGGCGCGGAGCCTCATGAAGCATTAAAAACAAAAACTTACTTTGTAATGCGAAGGAACACACAGAGAGCGTCAAGGTCAGAGGTGTGTCGCGTCACCCCGTGTCGTGCCACGCCGCGTCCTGTGTGTTTGTACCCTAAGACATCCACATATGTAAAGGTGCGTTGTCCAAGATGCGTCTGTTGCGTCTGACGCAGAGCGATGATCGCCGAGCGATGATCGCTGGGCGATGATCGCTTAGAGGCCCGTTGTCCAAAAACGCGTCTATTCAGTTCAATAGTTGGTTGCTGACTGTGTTAAAATTTATTTTGCTCTCACTATTAGCGTTAAGAGCCAAGAGTTGAAGATCCTATTCATCGAAGAGATAGAAAACTAGGAAATTCTAGACCTTTAGTGAACCTCGATTGTGTACCCACATCGTTTTCAAAAAGAGAAGTGAGGAAGGATATTTTAAAATACTTATCAAAAACTACTTTTATGCAGACAAGAGGCTGTTAAGTGATTTTTTTTACTTTTAAAGGAAACAGTTTAAGTTCCTTTAAATCCTTTAAAGTTTAAGTTGTAATAATTTAATTGAACATTACCGGTAATTAATTATTATTTTGAAAATTTTCTTTACTTAAATACAGATATCCCCTATTCTAAATAACTTCCAATATGTAATCCATAGCTAAAATAAAAGTCAATACTTTGGTGAACTATTTTAGACTATAAAGAGTTTTGGGAGTTAATTGGGGATATGATGTCTTTAACTAAAGATAAATTTCGAAATAAAAATAATTTAATGTTATATTAACACGTTCGCTGCTACGGACGTTCCGGAACGTCAGCCGGGCCACGGCGCCAGGAGCTAAGAACGTTCCAGAACGTCACCGTTCATTGTTGTTTAACGTTGCTATGGATAAGCCAGCACGTCACAAGCGTTCTATATTTCTTTGCAGCTCGTGGGGACGTACTTTTCTGACAATAAAAAATATAGTTTCCCAAATCACCACCAGGGTCGTTTGGAACAGGGCTTTGTTTTACCTCTTTCCTGCTAGATAGCGACACTACTTTACCGACTGTAACCTGGGTAGTGCTGCTATCTATCAGAATCACTTAGTACTATATCCAAAGCCAGTTTTATTGCAGAACATTGCCATCCAGTATAACTACTGTTGTTTTTACTGTAATTCAGTGTATCGGTGGCAATGTCACGCAGCGGCCGAGCGTAGTTCAGCAACTGGCGCCGTCCCGGCATCTAGCGCTCAGCAGCGAACGTGTTAAGGTCTATGACTCATTTTCAATTTGTTGGATTTTATTTAGTGATTAATCAAATTAAAGCCAAACATTTACTGAGTAATTTAAGACCAGAGAGACCTTGGGCCGTATTAACAAGACGAGATATAAATATTTTAATAAAAACAAATTTCTAAAAAAGTTAGATAAGAACTGGATATATTAAAAAAAGTTTTAAAAAATGATAAAAGTACGAAACATCTATAAGAAATGTATGGGGGAGAGTTTTCGTTTGAATATCTTTAAAACAAAAAAATAAATAAAAACGGATTTCCGAGAGTTTTTGTTTGAATATCTTTAAAACAAAAAAAAAAATAAAAACGGATTTCCGAGAGTTTTTGTTTGAATATCTTTAAAACGAAAAAAATATAAAAACGGTTTTCCGCATTGAAATTAGCATGAAAATCTAGTTTTGTAAATGATGTGTCACAACACTATCATTACATAAAAACAATATGTAGGTATATCCAATATGGCGGATCCAATATCTCGAAAATGTCCATAAAAAATGCACGTGGAATCATTTTTTATTGTTTTTCCAATGTTGGGAAAAGTCACAATATTTTATAATGATTTTAGGGGGTTTCCCATGGACCGACTTTTGGCAACCTTTATTATGTCACTCAGCAGAACCAACACTACAAAATAAAACCCTAAACATTTTCTTGCTATTTTTTTAGGTCATATCCTATATTTCTTTGACTATAGCCATTACATTAAGATAATGTATATTATGGAGTATACGGGAGAACACAGAAACAACGCTGCAATAGACGCAATAGACGCTGGCCGTCAGCGATCCCGTCTGCTCCTGGAGCAGTGCCCCGCGTCAGACGCTAGAGACGCTCCCTTGGACAACGGGCCCATTGAAATCAATGCTCAGCAGTCACTGAGCGTCCATCGCTAGCGTCTATTACTAAGCGTCAGACGCAACAGACGCGTTCTTGGACAACGGGCCTTAAGCAAACCAAGCTGGCTGAAATCAGCACCCATCCACCCAAACCTGATTGTTTGTTACGTAACTTAAAGTTTAAATTTTAGTCTACTCCAGATTCCGCAATCTCTTAGATAACCATTGTTACAAGACTTTGCCTACAAGAGTTGGGAATGTCTAGCTAATAATACTTAAATATAGGCCTATAACAAAAGTGATACAGTAGGCCCTATTTAAATAGTAAAGGGTATTGTAGATCTAAAATAGAGTGTATCATTGGTGTTAAATATTTGGTGTTTGGGGTGTAGCCTAGTGAAATATTGTATTAAAATAAAAATAGTATCACACACAATTTTAGAAAAACATGTTATAGGCTATAACTTTTAATGAACCCATCTTTGACATTGACATAGGGCATTAGCAGGTTAGGGTGTGCATCATGCAATAAGGCATTAATTAACAGTTACTTAAATGAGAGACATGAGAGAAGTGTAAAATCTAGAAATTCTGCTTCCCACTTTTCTTAAGACATTCTCATCAGTTCATCAGAAGAGACACTTCTCACTATAATATTTAATTGATTAGCTCCACCGAGAAATGTTGTGAGTGACAAAAGTGAATATTTTCTGAAAACGTTCTGGGAGCGCCTATGCCTACACAGCTAGTTTCCCGCACATTGAATCACTTGTAAGTGCTGCCAACCTATGTATTTTCAAAACCGAAATACCCCATGCAGTAAAGTATGCTATTTGCATCAATGTTCTTTAATTCAATCCAATTCAAATTATCTTTATTCATGAAGTACATTAGGAATATAATACATGAATAGTGTATTAATACTGTATTGTGTTAAAAATCTTAATTTCACAAAATGTATCGTTTACATTGTTGTTCGGTGGAGAATGTTATATACAACAAAACAATCCATTGGAAACAGTTTCAATTTCTTGTGAACAACAAATTTACAACTCATGAAAAAGGATGTTTATTTTGTTTTCTCAAAGTTAGGAAATAGTTGATTGAGAACCCAGCAGGCCAATTAATTACCCTTCGTTGGTTTAGAGGTTATTTTTTTGCCTGGGGAGTTGATGAGGGTTATTCCAAGCCTGAGTGCAATACCTGACCTTTGATCCAATATTGTAGACCAAAAACAACTTGCCTGTTCACTGATCTTAGTGATTAATCAGTTCTAGCTTAACATCCAATTATTATTTCATTTCCTTCAGGACTTTATCTCCCTACCTTGTAGGTATTTCAGTGGTCCTCAGTCGGCCCTATCCTTTAAACCTTGTCTACTATACCACACTTTAGGCCTAAATCATTGTAGAGTATAGGTATATAGGTATAGCTCCTTTTTGTTACCTAACTACCTCTACATTTCCTATACTTACAATGGGTAAAATACTATGTAATTAGAAATACTTATAGTAATAGTATTATCTAGGTTGGAGCTGATGGAGCGAATTCCGCCGTACGTAAGGCCATGGGAGTGCAATATGTAAGCTGGAAATACAATCAGACTGCAGTGGTCGCTACATTGAAACTAGCAGAGGTAAGCCTAGATTACACATTACTATACCAGTGTCTAGGTACTTTTTCTACAATGGAGATTTGCAATTTTAATAAACTACACCTTGATTGCAGATTTACAATATTGATGGACTGGATAATCATCATGTTATATTTTTACTAGGATATCAAAAGAACTAGACATTCCATCCCGATGATAAAGTTGTGCCATTTTTAAAATCAAAACGGAAGTAGTTTAAGTGAGCCTCTTACAGATTGGGCTGATGTAAGTTACGAATTCTGTGGACTATGCAGACCTTTTAATTAACTCAAGTTTATAGGATGATGTAGGTGATAGCATAGCACCTTTGATATTGTTATCAACAGTCTCAGTAACAAGAAAATTAGATAGAAAATAGAATTTTAGACGCTAGCACGATCTGTTACTGGTACACAGAGCTATGATTTTTATAAATACAAATTTGACAACCGGTTCATAATATTAAAGTTGGGATGTATACTTCAGTATCCAAAAGTCAATGAAATAGCTCTGCATTTTTTAGCAATTTACATGTTCTAATAACGTTAAATTTAAAGAATTCAAGATAGGGAACGGCCTTCATCTAAGAATTTGGGAACCATGACACATTTAGTTGGCCTACCAATGTTCTTGGCCAGATGTTCAACAAAATGGATTTTGTCCAAGCTACCTGCAGTCATTCCTTGTAGATAAAGACTTTAATGAGCACCAATGCATACCATGCATACAATGCATTTGTTGTTTGAAGGCTATGAATGAGCCATGCTTAATAAGAAAGGTATGTTTATATGCTCGATAAGCTAGAAGGACAGGAGAACATGGATACAATATTGTGTGCAATGTTCCATGGGTACTAAAATTAGTGTCCTAAATAATTTGTTTTCGACTCATCAAATCCTTACTCAGGTTGATTAATGTTTAAATATTTACTTAGATGGGTCCCATAGTGTTGCCTGATACACACTCATTTGAACAGTGCAATGTTTCATTGGCTAACCTTATCCTCTTTAGCTTTAAAACATGTCGCTTCAATTTGGACAAAAGAAATGTTGTAGTTTTCAATTGTGTATTAGTATACTCACTATTGTTCATCAATATTGTGTCCTTTCGTCCCTAGGGATCTCAGAATGATACAGCATGGCAAAGGTTTCTACACTCTGGGCCCGTCGCACTTTTGCCAGTAAGTTATGTACCTTTGATATGTGTAACTTGCATGACAGAACATTACCAATGTTTAGACTAGACATTATTTATATGCTTTTTACCCAGGCAACTTTTTAAGTAAGCATTTAAGCAAAAAACAATAACTTCCTTTAGAAAACACAATAATATTAGGCTTCTATGACTTATAGTTTTCAAATTGCTATTGATATTTCAACTAACTTTTCTGCCATGTTCACATAAATTATTTTGGCAAAAGTTATTGAAATTTTAATGAAGAAAAATATGTTATGTAAAAAAGCTATTTTGGAAGTTTTATTTATTTACTTGTTATTTCACAGTAAAGCTGGGTTTTCCTAGGCGCGTAGTCGGCCAGCGGAGAGAGGAACGCGGAGAGCGGACTCAGCTTGTCTTAGGCAATTTAATGTTACTGTTTTCCTAGAAGCGGAGCGGAATGCCATGTTAATTTCAATTCCGCTCTCCGCTGTCCGCTGGCCGACTCCGCGCCTAGGAAAACCCAGCTTAAATTGGACCTACTTCCTAGTGACTGCTTAACTTTATATCATGATTGACAATACAAAGTTTTCCCAAAAATGTGTAACATACCCAGGCTTTAAAAATGAGGCCTCTCCCAGTGTTCTACCAGTTCACTCACAATGTTGGTGTCAAAATCAAACTCATGAATTATTTATACAGATAAGATAACTAACTGTATTGCTTCCAATTTAAATTTAAATTCATGAAGTTTTTCTAGTATTTATTTTATCCACCCATTGACTTTTTCTTTGATCATTGGGCTTTTGATGAACTGGCCTGGCATAAAAACGGTGTATCTTTGTCTGTTAAAGCCTTTCATATAATCTCACTTTTTCTACACTTATTTTGCATAAATATTCAGGGTTCTAATACACACCTAGGTGGAATGGTTGTCTTAAATGTAACGATAATGAAAACTGTCTTAAAAGAAAAGAATCTTGGCAATAAAAGAATGTTTCCCAATGACTGAGCTATCTGTAAAGTAATATTGTTGGTTTAGCTCATTATTTGCTTATGTTTTGAATCGCAAAATCAATATTATATTTTTTTCAGTTGACAAATGAGTTGACATCTTTAGTTTGGTCAACTTCCTTAGAAGAAGCAAAAAGACTCTTGAAGCTACCTAACGATTCTTTTGTGGATGCGCTAAATGATGCATTGGTAAGTTTCCTTTGGAATCAAAAGGAGTTTCTTCTTTTTGGGGCTAACTTGGAACCCTGTGATCCTTTCTTACTGTTAACATTCCAATAAATATATTTTTTTAATTTTGAACAAAAATAAAAGAACAACCAAGTTTTTATTACAAACAAATAACAAAATCTTTCTCCTAACCTAACATACAGCCACAAACACATACACTCTCAAGCCTACTGCATGCTATCTTTCTATGCCTCAACCATCCAGTTAAAGTAATATTCTTGGAGCGCCACTGTCAGTCGCAGCGCCAGATTTAAGCTTAGGCAAAGTAGGCTAATATGTAAGGAAAGTAGCTCGGTCAATGCCAAAGGTATACATCAATCCCAATACAATGAAATGTGATCCAACACAATACATACAAATACAATTATCTCTCTATTTTACCAGTGGAAGGAGCCAGTGAGGTCCGAAGTAGTTACAGCAGTCAGTTCAGTAGCCAGACGTGTCCTGGGCTTGGTAGAGTCTACAGCTCCTTCCTCCTCCCCCCAGCCTCCCAATGTAGCCTCAGTGGTGGACAGCAGTAGAGCAGCCTTCCCTCTGGCCTTTGGACATGCTGCATCCTACGTGGCTCAGGCTGTGGCTCTGGTCGGGTGAGTGACAGAACACAACTTTGTACATTAGAAGATAAGAGTATATAAATTGGGAACAGCGATTATTGTTAACTCAATCAATATCTGTGTAGCTGAGCTGTTTTTATACTTACCTTACAGTCAAAATGTTACTGGTTCATTCATGAGGTAAGGTAGTAGTTTTTAAATGCCCAGCTGTCATTGTTCATCATCGGGCTACAACTATCCTGTCTTTTCGAAAGAAATGATATAGTTATAGTTAGTAAGAAAGTTGCATTGATCAATTCACTCTATTATACACCCACTTTCTTTCATTTTCCAATTTTATTACACACCTAAAAATAGCAGCAATGCATTGAAAGAAAAAGGGGGGAGTATAAATAGTTAAATGGTATGGTTGGGATACTACTTTTTTGGTAGTAAGGGGCTCCGCCCCCTTGCACCAACCAAGGCTGGCTCTGCTGAACATGTGTGTTTCGTAACAGATGATTTCAAAATGCTGCACTTTGAACCTACTATTTGAATCATCCAAATTCTCAGCTAATCTGAAGAGATGTTGATTACAGAGATGCAGCACACAAGGTACATCCTCTAGCAGGCCAGGGAGTCAACCTGGGATATGGAGACATCAAGTGTTTGGTGGATCAACTTGACCAAGCTGCACACCTAGGCAAACCACTGGGTGAGTCCTGTCAATATAAACCAGCACACAAGGTACATCCTCTAGCAGGGGGGAATCTGAAGGAGTATGAGAGGGATCGTCAGGATAACAATCTACCTGTGATGATGCTCATTAATTTCATGGCTAGGGTCTACTCTACCACCGACTTGCTATCAGCTGTTAGTTAATGGTTAGCATGATGTAGGTGATGATTATACTAAAAATTATACTTTGATGGAGTATGAGAAGCTGCGTTAGGCTCACAATCTACCTCTAATGATAGCATTGATCTCATGGCTAGAGTCTACAACACGACCGACCTACTATCAGCTGTTAGATTACAGTTAGCATGTGTTGTAGCTCATATCGGGACTCTAAAGGAGTATGAGAGGCTGTGTCAGGCTTACAATCTACCCATGATGATGGCCATTGATCTCATGGCTAGAGTCTACAACACAACTGACCTATTATCAGCTGTTAGATTACAGTTGCATGTGTTGTAGGTCATATCGGGACTCTAAGGGAGTATGAGAGGCTGCGTCAGGCTCACAATCTACCCTTGATGATGGCCATTGATCTCATGGCAAGAGTCTACTCCACCACCAACCCTGTACTACTGGCCGCTGGAAATGTAGCTCTGCAGGTTGCTGACTCGTTATCACCCATCAAGGTAGTTTACAAAATTCATGATATTTGTGTAATGCCTAGGCGAATTCCCTATACAGAGTCCCACAAACTCAGCGTAATGTGGACTGGATGAGTGCCGAGTTTGTGAAATGCCGGGTAATCGGGAACAAGGGTTAAAAACAAGAAAATTGCAGTTTTTAAGCTTTTTAACCACCTTTTTCATTTATATTTATATTACAAGTCAGTATTAAGTCATCAGATATGGTACAACAAATCCTTAGTACCATTTGCGAATAATTTGACAAGCTGGCTTAGTCCATGATTAATTTGGACTAAAAAAATTACAAATTTTCTGAGCCAGGCGATGGCCGTGTTATCTAGACTGCTGGGTTATCGAGTGCCGTGTTTGCAGAACTCTACTGTATAAGGAATAAGCTATTTCACTTTGGCATGAAGATTTTTTCTTTAAACTTTAGATAGGCCTAGTATGTTTTGAAAAGAAAAAAAAAGTCTCCGGTAGGTTTAGTAGGTTTATGTGTAACTATGTGAGATTTCTACATTCAAAACTATGCTGCTGAATTCCACGATATCCAATATTGTCTATCCTAAAAATGTAATTTGAAAACATGGACTAACTTAGCAAAGACTAGTTGGGCTAACTAATTTAGCAAAAGATAGTTGATACACATTCAAATAAATGCTGTACGAGGTCTGCTCAAAAAGTATACTTCATTCTGATCTTAGTTTTCATTTATTAATCCAACAACTGCATTGAGCTGCACTTTGGCACGTAGATCGAACCAACTGTAAAGCACGTCACGTGACCTTGACATGGTGTCAGTTCATTGTCGGCCACTAAACGTGAAACTGTGTACGTAGGTAGTGTTCGTCGTGTCTTTGTGCTTAGTAAAATGACAGAACGGGTGTAACAGCGTTACTGCATAAAATTTTGCCAAAAAACTGGGTGATATCGAGGCCCAAGCGATTCTTATGATTCAGCAAGTCTTTGGAGAAGACGCTATGGGTGTAACACAGTTAAATATTGGTACAACAGATTTAAAGATGGCCGCACTTTGGTGGACAGTGAATCTCGTTCTGGGAGACCATCAACAAGTCGAAACAATGGAGTTAACAATCAAGTTCGAGTTTTAATGATGGAGGATCAATGGATTACTGTTCGTGAACTAGCTACAGAAGTTGGAATCAGTATTGGTTCAGTTCATTCAATTTTAACAGAAGATTTGGCTCAGTGGCGTAACTCCGTATGCGGAACTTCAGGGAGCGCAGGCCTTAGGGGGGGCGCAAAAAACTCTGAAAATTCTGGAAAATGTTTAGCAAAAAAATATGTTGAAACAAAACTCCCTGTAGCTTACCGAAAATAAATATAAAAAAATATTCGTGGTACTTTATTCCGTTACAGTCATAACAGAATGTTGGTGACTCTTTTGTTTACTATTATCGTTATCTCCAGGCGGAAAGGTGCACATCTGCGCTTATTGTGTTCTTATCACAATCGTACACTGCTCTACTGCTCTTGTTTATTTCTCGTTGTTAGCTACAAAGATAGACAGAAAAAAAACTTGCAGTATTATTGTAGTAACCACGAACACTTGTCGCGTGTCCCTTTCAGTCCTTGTTGTATGATCGTGTGGTTCAGTAGTGTTCAGCTCTTTGACTGTAAGAATGCATCATCTAGTAAAATTAATACAATTTTGAGAAACGTTATATTGTAGCTTGCTATATCATGTATACTGGATAGGACAATGAATAAATATAAAATGTTTAGTAAATTAAGAAGTAGTCTATATTTTATCGTCCTAAAAAGTACATTAATTAATTGAAAGTATGTAATGTGATCCTTACTTCAGTTATGTTAATGTTTGAAAATTCTTAGTTCCAATTATACTTAACTTACTTCCATTAACTTATATCAACTTACTTATATTAACTTTACTTCCAATTATTTTTTTTATAATTAACTTTAAAATTACTCTGCATACAAAATTAAATTTCTTTGAATAATCTTTCTCTAATTGGATAGAACTTGTACAATGTTGTGTGTTGTGAAATAGTATCCAGGAAGTGTGGAAGTATGGAGAAATGTCGTTAGTTTCGTTGGTGGTTGTTTTGGAGGGGGGGGGGGGAGAGAATGAGTCTACCATTAGGGTCGCATGGGGAATACTTGCATTGGAGCGCAGTCAGACTAGTTACACCACTGATTTGGATATGCGGAGGGATGCTGCAAAACTTGTTCCAAAGAATTTGGCTGATGAACAAAAGGGATTGAGGTTTATACTCAAGTCATGCTGGAATACTTTCAGAATGACCCAAACTTTCTCAAAACAGTTATAGCTTATGATGAGTCGTGGGTGTACGGTTATGATACCGAAACCAAGGCGCAGTCTTCTCAGTGGAAACACTCAACATTGCCAGGTACAAAAAGCATCCCAAGTTCGAAGAAAAATCAGAGCCATGCTTAGGGGGCCTACTGTTTTTTCAATCGCAATGGAGTAGTCTATTATGAGTCTGCACCTAAGGGACAAAATATTACTAAGAGTACTATTTAGAAGTTCTACGTCACATGCGTAATGCAGTGTTCGCAAGCTTCCCAATTTGTGGGCCACGAACTCTTGATGGCATCAAGAGGAGGTCAGTTGCTTCATCAGGATAATGCTCCAGTGCATTCTTCCAATCTTGTTCATCTTCTTGGTTAAGCATGGCTTTCCTGTGTTACGCCAGGCCTCCTACTCACCGGATATGGCATTGTGTGACTTCCAGTTGTTGCCTCCCTCGAAGATGCCTCGAAAGGATTCTATTTCAGAGCAGAAACGAGATAGGCCTAATGCAAAATGTTACAGCTCGTCTGAAGTCCATTAAGAAGGAAGAGTTCCAGACTTGTTTCCAAAAGTGGCACGAGTGCTGGAATAAGTAGGTGAAGTCCCAGGGGGACTATTTTGAAGGAGATCACTTGTTAAAACAAATTGATCAATAAATTATGCTTTTCCTGAACAAGGTCATATACTTTTTAAACAGACCTCGTATTCAGATCCAGTAAAAAAATGTTGTTGTAGTACAACAGATATACAACAAAAATAATGAAAATTTTAAACAAAATATTTGTTGTAAGACTGTATGTTTTTAAGCTCATTCATAGCAGTTTCGCTTCCCTGGCAAACTACAATTTCTTTACTGATATAGGTTTGCAATTTGCAAATCTCAAACTGGACATCCTGGTCTTCCCTCTCCCACATGGGACATCTGACCCTAAAACTGTTTCTTAGTTACCTATCTTATAGATCATATAAATTTCCAGGTGTATTCATAGCTGCAAAAGAATTTTTAGTACTAATGATGTTACCTACAATGTAAATCTAATAACCACTATTTTGCTTTCAGACTATGATGAGAAATAGAGCTGCGTCGTGAATTGTCAGTTCATCATATAGTATTTGTCTTTCGTTTGTAAATATTTATTGTACTAGTCTTATGATTGCTATTTAAAATCTATGTTGTAATTTGTGATGTTAAAATAATAAATGAATTTATTAATGTATGTAAATGGATTTTCATCATTCATTTTTATTTTTATTTTTTACTGAGATTATGTATTTATTTATTTAGCATCAAATGAAAGATCATACTGTGCCGATGAGCCTTTTCGGTTCAAAAATTCTCATAGATTTCCCGATTAATTATCAAAATTGTTATGTTTATTCAATGGAGACATCTTCTGAAATTAAATCAGCTGTCTGCAAGCTTACTCACTGTTAAATATCTCAACAAACAAAACAAATAAGACCAATATTGATGATGACAAACAAATAAGAACAATGTTGATGAAGACAAACAAATAAGAACAATGTTGATGAAGACAAACAAATAAGAACAATGTTGATGATGACAAACTAATAAGAACAATGTTGATGAAGACAAACAAATAAGAACAATTTTGATGATGACAATGAAATAAGAACAATGTTGATGATGACAAACTAATAAGAACAATGTTGTTGAAGACAAATTTATAGGAACAATGTTGATAATGACAAACAAATAAGAATAATGCTGATGAAGACAAACAAATAAGACCAATGTTGATAATGACAAACAAATAAGACCAATGTTGATGAAGACAAACAAATAAGAACAATGTTGATGAAGACAAACAAATAAGACCAATGTTGATGAAGACAAACAAATAAGACCAATGTTGATGATGACAAACAAATAAGAACAATGTTGATGAAGACAAACAAATAAGAACAATGTTGATGAAGACAAACAAATAAGACCAATGTTGATGATGACAAACAAATAAGAACAATGTTGATGAAGACAAACAAATAAGAACAATGTTGATGAAGACAAACAAATAAGAACAATGTTGATGAAGACAAGCAAATAAGAACAATGTTGATGATGACAATGAAATAAGAACAATGTTGATGATGACAAACTAATAAGAACAATGTTGATGAAGACAAATTTATAGGAACAATGTTGATGATGACAAACAAATAAGAATAATGCTGATGAAGACAATAGTTATTTGTGCAACTAGTGAAAAAAGTGAGCAATTGACTCACTCGAGAGAAATCCTTACTCACGAGCCGTAGGCGAGTGAGGAATGGTTTCTCGAGTGAGGCAATTGTTCTTTGAACTCGAGTTGCACATTATACTTTTCCTACAGTTACCATAAAACAAATAAATTTGTGAAGAAACATAACCTATTTTTACACAGAAGATATCTTTTAATATAACATTTAATGTGAAGTGACAAAATACAACAGTACAACAGCTGACCAGCTGAATTACAGCCAGTGCTGCCAACGTATTTCGCGCGCATACGACGTAGCCTGCATGTTACGCGCTCACTATTTCGTGCCTCCAAGTTGCAAATCTGGAGTGAGACAAAGTAATTAGAGTGAGACAATGTTAACATTGTCTCACTGATGAGCGAATTGGCCACTTTGCTTTCTCAAATCAGTGAGAGAACATGTACATTGTTAGGTAACTGTAGGAAAATTTATATTTTTACTTAGTTATTTGGGGTTAACTTCAAATATAGTCCTGGACAAGCAACCTTGGATTAAATGGTTGAACCTTATCCTAAGCCTGGTCAAATGTGATCCAGCCAGTCCTTTATTACTGCCGCTTGACTAAGTTCATACTTAAGCAGGGTATAGGCTGGGATGAAATTCTACAAACTCTCAGACAACAGTAGTAAAAATATTATTCATTAAAAGCATTTGCAAAAATTTGCCAATAATATTACATGTTTGAACATTACATCTTAAACTTTATTTGTAGCAAATTTGCTATAGCCTGCAAAAACAATGTAGCATTTTTAAGTTGTGTATAGCTAAAATGCTACCGCAGCTTAAATCCTCTACTTAAGGGGTGTAGGGAGCCTAATCCCCTTCATCATTTTTGTCCTTTGCTAAAAATGTATAAAACGTTTTCATAGCTCTACACACAAAAATACATTTTAAAAAATAGTTGTTTAGCCTCCGGATTACTGTATTATACTTAAAATGGTTTAAAATACCTGCATATAGTAATCCTTTGTTGCTGATTTAGGCAACTAGTTTCGGTTCTTGTTTTGAACCATCTTCAGGCCTCAAGGTGTCAAGTGATCACTTCATTCGAAGGTCGTTAACAGAGTTCAATAAATACAACATATACAAAACACGATACACGGAACGGACACACATTACAAAAAACACGAAAAACACGAAGGGACATTGACAATCGATCGTGACCGGGCTGAGGTAATGTCTAGACTGGTGGTCAAAGTGGTCTATGACGTTGTCTCTGTCTTCTTATCACCGGTGCGTGTTCATTCATTCATTGTTCCCTCCAGTATCCTTATAGCTGTGTTGTAAATATAGTTGGATTGGAAGGAGAGTTTATCGTTCAAAACATTTTGATGGTCAGCTTTAACCGCTCTGTATATTTCAAACTCTTCCAATGTGTTTCTGGTTAGACGGTCCTGCGAGAAATGTAAAACTTCCATATTACTATTGATGTCTGAATAATTGTGGTTGTGTAATACTAGATGTTCCGCAAAATTTGATGTTTGGGGAGCTGTTGTTTTTCTGGGCATATGTTCCTTAAATCTCTTCTTAAACGAGCGTGAAGTCTGGCCAATGTAGTAGTTCGTGCAGTCATTACAATTTATTTTGTAGACTCCAGACTTATCGTAGATGGATGAATTAATTTCTGTTTTATCTTTCAATAGAGATCCAAGTTTATTGTTAGTCTTGAACGATACAGTGAATTTATTTTTGTCCATGATATTTTTAAATGTGTTACTGATATGTGAACCAAAAATTGCTGAAATATACGTTTTCTTTTCTGTGGATTTAATTTGAGGTTTATTTAAATGTTTAAAAATAATTTTGTCCACTAGACTGGAGTGAAAGCCATTTGCGACTGCTATGTATTTTATCGTGTTTATTTCTTCATTATAATCAGTCTGATTCATTGGTATTGATAGCAATCTATGGATAAAACTGTTGTAGGCGGCGATTTTTTGAGAGTGTGGGTGGTGTGAATCGGCATTTATGGTCTGGTCGGTGCAAGTAGGCTTCCTGTAAATTTTAAATTCGAAATGATCATTTTGTTTTTTAATTGTAAGGTCCAGAAAATTTAACGTTTTGTTTTTTTCCTCCTCTAATGTGAAATCAATATTCTTGTGCATTTTGCACAAATAACTGTTTAATAGAGAAAGTTGTCTGCTATTCCCGTTGAAGAGCATAATGGTGTCATCAACAGAGATAAAATTTTATTCTATTATAGATATGTTGATGACACCATTATGCTCTTCAACGGGAATAGCAGACAACTTTCTCTATTAAACAGTTATTTGTGCAAAATGCACAAGAATATTGATTTCACATTAGAGGAGGAAAAAAACAAAACGTTAAATTTTCTGGACCTTACAATTAAAAAACAAAATGATCATTTCGAATTTAAAATTTACAGGAAGCCTACTTGCACCGACCAGACCATAAATGCCGATTCACACCACCCACACTCTCAAAAAATCGCCGCCTACAACAGTTTTATCCATAGATTGCTATCAATACCAATGAATCAGACTGATTATAATGAAGAAATAAACACGATAAAATACATAGCAGTCGCAAATGGCTTTCACTCCAGTCTAGTGGACAAAATGATTTTTAAACATTTAAATAAACCTCAAATTAAATCCACAGAAAAGAAAACGTATATTTCAGCAATTTTTGGTTCACATATCAGTAACACATTTAAAAATATCATGGACAAAAATAAATTCACTGTATCGTTCAAGACTAACAATAAACTTGGATCTCTATTGAAAGATAAAACAGAAATTAATTCATCCATCTACGATAAGTCTGGAGTCTACAAAATAAATTGTAATGACTGCACGAACTACTACATTGGCCAGACTTCACGCTCGTTTAAGAAGAGATTTAAGGAACATATGCCCAGAAAAACAACAGCTCCCCAAACATCAAATTTTGCGGAACATCTAGTATTACACAACCACAATTATTCAGACATCAATAGTAATATGGAAGTTTTACATTTCTCGCAGGACCGTCTAACCAGAAACACATTGGAAGAGTTTGAAATATACAGAGCGGTTAAAGCTGACCATCAAAATGTTTTGAACGATAAACTCTCCTTCCAATCCAACTATATTTACAACACAGCTATAAGGATACTGGAGGGAACAATGAATGAATGAACACGCACCGGTGATAAGAAGACAGAGACAACGCCATAGACCACTTTGACCACCAGTCTAGACTTTACCTCAGCCCGGTCACGATCGATTGTCAATGTCCCTTCGTGTTTTTCGTGTTTTTTGTAATGTGTGTCCGTTCCGTGTATCGTGTTTTGTATATGTTTTATTTATTGAACTCTGTTAACGACCTTCGAATGAAGTGATCACTTGACACCTTGAGGCCTGAAGATGGTTCAAAACAAGAACCGAAACTAGTTGCCTAAATCAGCAACAAAGGATTACTATATGCAGGTATTTTAAACCATTTTAAACACAAAAATACACTTTCTAACTTAAAATGAACTATGAAAATAGGTTATTCCCCTTACTGCACAGCAAAAATAAATAAGGTTAACTTTCTGTGCATTTGTGGTGCACGGAAAGTAACCGTTATCGGACTTTGCGGTGCAGACCGATCAGCTATTGCATTAATTGCTGTGTTGCATTGTTTTGTACCTCGACATAATAAGCACAGAAACTCAGTGTTATGAGTTAGGTTTCTTTTTCTTGATATTAAGTTAAATAAGCAAAAATATCCATGTTGTAAACAAATTTGTCGATATCTTAATGAAAAATAATGTTGAATACTCATCTCAAAAGTGTCATTGCGGGGCTCCATAGCTTTTCCATAATGTAATTAATTTCTCCCTGCAATAAGTCACTATCGAGACTAGTAATGAAAACTACTATTCTTTTTAAATAACATTGTAACTTTAAAGGGGCCATGGGTCAGAACCCTAAAGTCTGATTTATACTCATCCATCAGATT